CGGAGTGTAGTTTATTTAATTACAAAATTCTATAGTAAAAAATAATAAAGTCATAAGTCCTGACTTACAAACAACAATAATTACACATTAAATTTAACTTACTAGGAAAGAAAATTTACTTTTTTTATGTTTTTTGATGTTAGATGAAGAGTTACAACTGTTATTTTTCTTTATTGAACTCCAATTTAGTCATTGCAAATATTTTTTATAGGATCCTAAAAGAAAAATCCTTTAGAAAAATGGCAGCATGTGATTCCTAGGGCTGATAAAGTATTGTCTAGTTATGATTCTGTTTGCGAGCTACACTTTTTAGAAGTTTTAAAATTTGATAAGACTATTTTAACTAATGGTACTGTAACCTGACAAACCGGGTCCTAACTTAGTTTTACAAATATTTAAAACCTTGGCCTAAAATACGTCTAGCAGATACCCACGAAGTGTTTTGTTTGAACCCCAAATTTACGCTTAGAGTTCTATGTAGCTGTAAGAGAGAGCGAAGAAAGTAAACACGAAAGTAGATCAATAATAGTTTTATTTAACTATATTATTGGCACAAAATTTACATGAATAATGTCTGTTCTTTTGTTTATCATACACATGTGGCTTTTTCCATGTCTCATTTCTAACCGGAGGCATTTTGAGCTCCCCTGAGTAGTTTAAAATGTGAGGACAGTACTACAGCATATTTGTTATCCCCTTATCATTCACAATCATACACACTATGCTAATGGAATACCTGCATACGCATTGTCTGATATGCGGACGTGACATGAAGAGCATGGCGAAAAATGATAGTAATTAAAACAATGATTAAGAAGTTTATACTTTTCGTGCGACACGCATTTTTCACGAATATCCCAATACCGTACTTAAAATTAAGTTCGGCACTGCATATATAACAATAATTTGAACGGCAACAGAACACCTGATATAAAGGGGGATGCCCGTTAGGCCCACTATTGGGGTATCTTTTCTTAAGATCCATCCTAGCCTCTATCAGGCTTTTATATCCACAGACGCGAGAAAAAAACCATTTTTAGGCCCTACTATTGAGGTTCTGCACGTACTATGGGTGGCTGAAGGCTCTTTTTAGGCGTTTTGCTCTTTTGCTCTAATTACCGACAAATCACGGCGATAAATGACAGCCCCGAGACCACACGCTGTAATCCCACAACAATCTAACCTCATTTTATAAAAGGATAACAATTATACTATTTTCCCGTAACCCCAGAGATATCTATTACAACAATGTACAGAGGAACACATATATGTCTATTAAAATTAAATACAATACCTATAGTTATATTACTGTAACCCGCCTCTGTACATTCATACTTTGAAAGAAAAACTATGAAATCCCAACGTTTAAAAATAAGACATGAATTGATCCCTTTTTATATTCTACAGAGTAAAAGAAAATATTTCTTTACCGTAATTTGCTTAAAGATTCTTTGGACCCGATACTAATTTTGACAAATATAAAATTTCAGCATCTGTTAGGTTTCTAGATGAACGCAAAATACTACAATTTATAGCCCCCTTGAAAGCAGGTCGCCGAACTACCCAGGTCATAAAAGGATTATGTACTTGACTTGTAAAGCCATAAACCGGAAGGACTTTATTAGTTCTTGAGGCTAGTTTACAATAATGGCATTTTTTGACCGTAATTCTAATTATGAATGATTGCACCATGAAATAGAATAAAAGGCAATGACAATGCAATGAAAAAAATACCCACATAATTTTACATTTATAATTTACAAAAATGTTATCCCTTTAAGAACGGTTCCCCTTTTTACACCTGTTTAATAGCAAAATGATACCTGTAATAAAACCATGCTGTTGCAATTCTCCGCCGACCGTAGACATGATTACTGTTATACAAAGAGGACTAGGTAGGAGGGTGCGCCGAAAACGCTGATCTAGAAATGCGTTCCAGAACGGCGTCTCCGCGATTAAAACCGATAATCGTAGCGTCTAATAGAAAATACAATTATCGCCAAAATCTAAAGCACGGGGAACCTCACAACAAAGAAAAAGATATCGTCGACAAAAGTAGAACGACAATCGCAATACTTTTAGTCGTTTTCCACGAGTTTTATACGGTTGGATCAGAGGTACTGAATAACTCGCTATTTCTTTATCCCGCGTCGTCACCATAGGCAACGGTTCATCAAGATAAGTCACGCAAAGAATCCAATAAACCTGAAATACAATCCTACAAACCCCTTAGAAGAGAAAAAAATTAAGCTCTTTTAAAACGTCCGTCTGTTTGGTCACCTGATAGGTAACACATAACTACTTCTCGATATACAAATGTATAACGAAAGAAGTCACCTTAAAGGTAACGGTGTATAGCGCAACAGAAGTCGTTTCATACAGAAAATAATTTATCTGCTCCCTCGATATCTTTTACTGCGTTTTCCAAATATAACAAAAAAATCTGTCACCTTATAGTTAGACGGGATAAACCAATCAATATACTTGAAGAGTATATAGAAGGGAGTCACCTTATAGATAACTGAATCTTACACTTTTTTTGTCAACTGGACGTGAGAAAGGCAGGAAGAATTCTAACCCAGTTCTTACTTTTGAACCCCGTATTTATACTTTAATTTTCCCATTTAGTCAATGCATAAGACAAAGAAAGATTGAGTAGCGGGCCTACTCAACTTTCACGTTACATAATATCCCGAAAAAGAGCCCGAACAATATACGGCTTCCGGGCCGCCCCCTGAGTTCGAATTTGCCTTCCAACAATTTACACTCGAGGAACAAAAGACGTGCCAAATAGAAAGTGATTGATATATCCTCGAACAACGCAACAAACTATTTAAAGAAAAGAATAAAAATATATCAGACCCAGGGGTGTCGAGTTTCAGTACTGTTAACAAAATAAAAAAGGAAAGGCCGAGATTAAAGATTGAAGCAATACCATGTATATTCCCGAATCTCCCTTCATACTTGTCCAGTATTAGGAACAGACGAAAACCACCATTGAACCGAACTGAATTTGTTGCTGAAGAAACTATTCACCAGGATGATGAAATTGTAGTTGTCGAATACAAAATTACCACATAACTGTACTTACCAAATTTCACCATTTAACAAACCTTTTTAAATTTGGTCATACCTAATTTTCATTTTATTTAGATAAAATTAAATAATGAATAGTAAATAATGTTTAACATAAAGACTCATTTATAATTAATACCAACAGTATTTTCTGTACTTTAGTTAGCAATTAAAACAAAGACTTATTTACAATAAATAAAATCAACAGTATTTTCTGTGCCATAAACAATTTGATTTTTATTATTTTTTACTAAATATTTTTTGTCTGTCTTAGTATGCCCTCAGCCCTATTTAAATTAAAAAAAAATAATTAGCCCTACCCATCAAATTTCAACACTTATCATCAATAATTTGCATTTTACTTAAATAGGAATAAATAGTAAATAATGTATCAATTAAAATATGTAAGACTTATTTAGAAATAAATACAACAGTATGTTCTGTGCTTTATTTAGCTCTAAACAAGTTTATTTTTATTATTTTGACAATATATGTATATTTCCCATAAAAAGCCATGTATTTTGAACTACGTAAACTGTACCAGCGCCCATTCGGTTAATTATAAAAGCTCAATTGACGTGTGATTTTTGGGACCGTATTTTGAGCATGCCGATTCGCCTCCTTATCTCTAGTCTTCATAGTAAAAACCATTACAAATATAAAATACTTTTTGCTGATTTAAAGATTTATTAGTATATTTGTTATGATTCATTTTTACAAGATGTCATAGAAACGACAAAAAACTACAACGATTATTGTTTAAAAAAATTTGTGTGCAAATGGTGTCACGTTATGCGTGTTCCTAATAAAAAAATAGAGAGTTGAAGTAATGTTATAAACGTAAACGTATACGTGAAATTTGACATCTGCGCATGCCTATTAAAATATCCTACACGTTTACGTCTACGTACATACGTAAACTTACGGGCTCTGGCGTATACACGTAACGCAAACAAAATTACCTCTTTTTAATAGGAAAAGTAGAAATCCCAATATAATATGTCATTAACTGTCATTATTTGTCATGATACGTAAATGTCACGATGCGTTTAACAACACATACTTTGATTGTAATCAAAGTATGTGGTTTAACAACTTCAACTCATATTTTGTACAGCAACGTAAACATTATTTTTCTGCGTTCACGTTCACGTTTACGTTAACGTACTGGAAATACTTCAAGTCTCTATTGTCACGTTTTACGTGCTCTTTAATAATTAAGGGACTATCTATGTCCCGGGGGTTGAATAACAAAATATATGAATTCGGGCCTCAAATCATGTAAACACTATTTAGCCTTAAACTTGGCTTCGTAACCAGTGGCGGCTCGTGGGCACTAGCGACAGTGGGGCACACACTGGAAAGGAATCCCGGGATTCGTTTTTCCCTTAGGAAAATGAGTTCTCCGCTTAATGAAAATTATATACGGGGTGGCCCAAAAGTCTGGAAACGGCCAATTATCTCGTAAATTGCTAATCCTAATTGTACAAAATTTGGGGTACACCTATTTTGGGATACGGGGATTTTAGATTTGATATTTGTAATGTTGCCAGATTTGCCGTTTCTCTTATATTATTAGTCACTTTGGTTTTTTAAATTCATCACCCTGTATATTGTCATTATTGGAATCTCCTACTCAATACGAGATTAACCATATGTAACACTTATGATTTTATGTAGTCTGGAAGGTCTTAAATTCATTGATACTTGATACGCCACCTAAAATCCTTTTAACTACTATTATTTTTATTTTATAATGAATTTTTGATTACGCTAAACTTTCAAGTATTTAAGCATAAAAAAACAAAATAAAATAACATCAGGAAGCATAGTCGAAAAAAAATTATCTGACGTTTACCATAACGCTCAACCAGAATGTAATTTAATTCAACTTTATATAAAATTATATGATAAGTGGCAGAGGTCCAGTAGCGATTGCGAAGCGCTGATGATATATCGAGAAACCGGACACCAAAGTATTTTTTAATTAGTGATTTTCCGTATATTTATTGTGATTGTGCGTACATAAAGGTAAGAAGTCAATAATATAATATTTAAATTTGGCTAAACTAATAATTAAATGAATTATTAATGTTTAATTTTGGATGGCCGGCGATTGGTGATAAACAATATTTTGATTAAATTTGTATTAGAATTTGTGTATTATTGAAAAAGGGCTTACTTAAATTTTAAATTTAAAACTTGTAATATTTAGGAAAAATGGCCAGAATTAAAAAAACTGAATATATTTACATACCTCCAAACCTAAAAGGTGTTAATGCCATTAACAAATTTTTTACTTCAAACATTAATAACTCTGCTATACAAATAGATTTACAACAGTTTTACCTCAACAATTTTAAAGAAAATATTACCGTAAAGGGTACTGGACTTTTTTCGGACCTTTTTAGATGTACCATAAAAAGCGTCCAAGAATAAATAAGTTTCATATCGAGTTTGGATAGGTCTACATAAAAGCTAATATTACCATGATAAAAAATACGACCCCCTTTTATAAGGGGTCCTAAAAAACTTTTTGAAGGTCTGTCCAAAATAACCCCATAGAGCGGGGATAGTTTGGAATATACAAAAGTAACACAGAATATGAAGTTAAACAGCTCAAGGGGCTTCTTTAGATATAAAAAAAATATATCTGAGTATTTTTTTATTTAAAGATGAAGAAGCTACTAAAAAAACACAAAATATTAGTTTTATTGATTTTAATACAAAAAAATCGAGAACATTATTTAAGAAACATAAGTATGAATTATTAAGTTTGGTTTCTTCAGCCTTTTTAGCAAAATTCGGTACTCAACCAGGAAGTACCTGCGTAGTAAATATAGGATATTACTGGCAATTATAAGATGATAAATTCTCATTAAATTTAAAAAATACTATTCTTCCTGTGCCATTTATTTTTGGACTCTGGAGTATTTTTTTTATATGTTCTTTAAGAACATCGTCTATATCTTTTACATCTGGTGTTAGGAATCGTTCTGTCTTAAAGGATTTTTTTAAAAAATCTACTCTGAATTTGTTTTTGAAACTACATTTTTTCTTTTATATTCTACCAATACCCAGTCATTTACAATCGGTTTCTTAAGTTCAATCAAAGAATTTACAGGTGGCACGGTTTCTTTGAAATGTATCAATAGCATATCACAATCTCTGCTACTGCTATTTGGTGATTGATCCCAGGATTTCGAGAATGGTGGCAAGTCATCGAAACACTCGAGGCTATCGCCTCCTTCATTGGGTTTATATGGTACATCAGATTCGTCAGAAAAATACGATGGTATCGCTGATTTATTTTTTTTAAGTTTAAATTTTTTAGCAACTGTTTTTTTTTTTTTTGAATCGCACTGGTTGAAGCAACAACATCAGTGGCTGACACACTTTTTCCAGGCTCTACTGAAACTCTCTTGCGTCTCTGTTTTTGTTGTTATGGTGCTTCTGTACTATGACGCATTTCTTTCAAAATGTCAACCACACCAGTAGAAAATTTTTTTTTGTGTACCTTGCTTTGGCTCGGCAGGATCGAATGGATGTAGACCAGTTTAATGGAAATCCGAGATGAGATTTTCAGAGGCTTTACTATTTTCATCCAATTTTTGACGAAGTTTACTTAGTAGCAGCGGAAATATATTTTTTTTGATAACGTAAATATTTTACGCCCTCCTGTTTTCTTCTACTCGGTAAGTATCGCTCGCCAATACTTCTTTAGAGAAGCGTAGAATGTCACATCAAGGACTTGCATCAGATGAGTTGAGTTAGGGGTTAGGCAGATAAAAAATATGTTCATTTCTTGGCATGTTTGTAATACTTTCTGTAAAAAATGTGAGGATAGGTTGTCGCCAACTAAAATCTGCAATAAAAAATGGGGATTATTATTAAAATAGCAAAATTTTGAATACCTAGATTATAAACCTTAGCTCCATCCTTATTTCTTAAATAAGGGACAAAAATGCTATAAAACCAATCCTCAAAGCAGACACTTTTCGAGACCGATTGTAACGTGCTCCTCCAGGTCGTCCACCGTGAGTCCAACTATCCCACATATGATCTGCCTTGTAGCCTACATATTCAGGCAAAAGTTGTCCATCTGCAGTTCCAGCATACATTATGCTTATGGCAGTCTTCGTGGAGTTGACTACCCTTTCAGGGTACTTGGTGCCTCTCTTGACTATAAATTTTTTTGCTCCTGGGTTTTCAGTCAAGTTAATTTCGTCGAAATTTATTATTAGAGACGGGTCTGTGGTATTAAACATATCTCGGGCATTATCAAAGAAAATGTTCAAATTTTGCCTATTTACCATCGCACATTTGGTAGAGATATTCGCAGAAAATCGATTCGATATTGACTTTTTAAGCCTCCGTTCATTGCAGCGTTTTCTGTCAAGATAAGACTTGATTAATATCTTCAAGTCAGTAATGTCAAACGGAAAGCCCCAGGGAGCAACCACGTTCAGATGTTCAACCAGCACTTTTTCTTCGTCGCTTGTTAAAATGCAAGGTCTTTCTGCTGTAGGAAAAGTGCTTTTTGTCTTAGCTCGTAAAGCTAGGGTAGACCTTGGCATCCTATATTTTTTATAAGTCATATCAAGGCTCAGACCATTATACTGAATATCACGTATTGGGTTTTGGAAGGCTTCTTCCGTATAGTTTCTGTACGGGGTGCATATTTACACATCCTCCTATATGACGGCACCGGAGTGCTGAAATCTGTTCGCCTTTGTAACTTACGCTACAAAAGCTCATTGATTTAGACACCCATACAAATTTTATGTTATGTGAGAATTTGTTCCAGTTAAACTTTACACTCTGTATTATGTATATGATATGTAGGTATATCTACAATATATATTATTTTATAAAACTAAATGAAAAAATAAGTAGGTACTAAAACCACTGCAAATTAAAGTAGTTTAAATTCGTACCATGTATAGGTATATTTTTTGATTAAAGGTGTTGTTAATAATCACTAATATTTTAAAGAGAACGTCAATAAATAAAAAAAGAAGCTGTAATTATATATTTTTTTTCTAAGTTATAAAACACCTAATTTTTTATAACTTTAATAACAATTTTTGATCATGATTAATAATTTTATTCTGATTAATGTACTGTATATTTAAAATTATTATAATGTATACAAATTTAATGAGTAAGTCCTTAAATTTAGATACTAAATACTATTTCTAGAAGAGATAAAAAAATTGACAGCCAAAAAATTAAATATAAAATTGCAGACTTAGTTATACAGGGTATTTCAAAATTAAACGTACATTCACTAATGGGTTTATCTAAATACAAGAAGTTTTACGGATTTCGTCTGAATATTTATTTTGCCAAAATTCAACAACTCCTTGGAAGAAGATATATCAAAAATAATGCCATATAAAAATTATTTAAAGTCCAGGTGCTGCTTAACAATATTTAACAATTTTTTTCTACCTCAAATACAATAGCCTGTATAACACAATTTTGCTTAACTGGTAAGATATTTCAAATAAACCTCGTCTTACTAATTATATTTTACTTCTAAATATAATTTCGTGCTAGGCATTTTCTGCCAAAGACATTTTTGGCACTTGACATTCCTGCATGACATTCCAGTCATCACAGACCCAAAATAAAAATATTTATAATAATTAATGTTGAAAATTTAAGATAAATTCACAAACATCAAATGATACAGAAATGATAAAAAAAAATGTTTCACTAAAATATACACTATTTCTTATATTCTTGACCTTTATTGTATTATCTTATTTCAAAATTTACTTTTATTGAAAATATAATCAGTATAGCATAGTTTATCTATTTATGTTTTTATTTATAATCTTGTGTTTTCATATTGAATTAAATTATCATAAATGTTAACAATTATTTTTAATTTACAAATATAATAAATATACTTACGTAATTATCAATTAACATTCTTTTAATTGAATAACAATTATTATATCTTCTTGTCACCACATGTAGTGAATTCATTTAAATACTTTACATAATTTCCACTTCCACTAAATCATTAACGACTAATAAACCATTTAATTTTTTTTATAAATGCCCCAAAGTAAAGCATTTACGATTATCACAATCTGATAATTAAGATCAGTTAGCAATTTTATTCTAACCTAACTTATCTATGGATGAAAAACTTTCAGATGACCATTTATCTGAGGAAAAACTTCATAAACTAAGATTCTACTCACTAGTGTACTTTAGAGTCTAATTATTTAGTTACACTACCGTTAACGTAAGTATAACACTAAATCGCACTATACTCTGCTTTCATCTAGCATCACTGAAGTAACTCAAAAGGATTATTTCTCTTATTAGATTGGCATTCTTGAGGAGTTTCGATTACAAATATAATGTTGCATCGTAATTTGTGTGACTGAGCAACTACTTTAAAAAATGTTAATATTCAAATTTAAAAACCTATAATGACTATCTATATTTCATTACTAAAGATTATATCAGTTAATGCTTAAAACTTTTTCTAGGATACAAAACCCTTTACTTGTAAATTATTTTCAGCTATATATGTTATATCTACCTATACGAGTATAACAATTAAATATTATTGCTTATAAACTCAATCCATCTCAAGAACTACATTTTATGAATACGTAAAATATGAAAATCTTAGCGAAGTGCTTGATCAAATCTTTTTACAACGCTATTAGTGTAGACTCTGAAACAGATGTATTGATCAACATTCTAAACAAAGCAATACAAGACACAAGGCACTCTAATAAAATATATTATTTAAAATATAAACTATTTAAACAATCTAAGAAAAACTCTAATGATATCCTCCTAAAATAAAGATATAATGCTCAGAGAAATCTTGTAAATCACTCAATAAGAAAATGTAAATACGACCTAATAATAATCAATCTAATGCTACAAAACTTTGGAAAATTGTAAATAAAATAAAGAATAACAAAAGAAAACACAAACGAATAAAGTATATAGAAGATTTAATAGAATCAAAAATACTTACCGTAAAATTGTAAATGTATACTTATAGGCTGTATAAAAATATATGAGTATAATTTTCATGTGATAAAAAATATAGGTAGATGATGTCCGGCTTTTTTAATTTTTCCAATGAATTCAATAATTTAATAAAATTTTTCCTACACTGCACGTCTGTTATTATTATTGCTATTAAATTGGTTTTACTTTATTATATTCTATTTTAGTGTGTATATGTCTATGTATATGTTTATAATTATTGTACTTATAATCTCCTACTTTTAGAGTGTAAAATATAGTAAATTTTGCTTGATAGTTCTAGTAAAATAAGTTGTGACTATTTTAGTCACAAACTAATTATTTTAATAACTTTTATTTTCTTCTTGAAACAAGTGATTTATCACTTATCGAGTAGCTTATTCATACCAAACTTATTAGTTTTTATTGTATTTTAATTTTGTTTTAACTGTAATGTATATTTTGGATGAATAAATTATTATTATTATTATTATTATACAAATTGAAAAAAATATTTTGTTGAGTGGGTATTGATTATATTAAGTGGTAGGTATTTGTTGTCAATTTTCGGTAGTAAAGTTAATATTACGAACAGATTTGTTACCTTATTGATTAATAAATGAAAGACTTAATTAGGTATTTCTTTATTTTCAGTATCAAAATGGAACCTATGACAGTCACTGGGGTTGACTTCTTTTGTCAAGAAAATGCAAAAGGACACCATACTGATGAATATGATTTAACAAAAGGTGAAACACCAACACCGATATTAAGAAGAGGAGAAATATTCAAGCTCGGTATAAATCTAAATCGAGCATATGATACTGAAAAAGATGTAATAAGAGTAAGCTTTGGATTTGGTAAGATTACTTTTTCTACTCCTGTATTATAATTTGTTAATTAAATGTTAATTTTCGGTTTAATATAGCACTAGTTTTCATTACAAATGAAAAATTGAGTAATAGAAACCTACATTATAAAGGAAAAATCCCATTATTTTCTTTAAACAATATTTGACAGTCTCTAAACGTCAATTTAGATCTTCCATTTTGGAATTTGTTACTTACAATTGTTTTTTGAAAACATATAGAACAAATTGTTTTTTATTTAGTTTTTATAGGACTTGGAACTATTCTATTTTCATTTGGATTAAATTTCCATCATCACTTTTCTATAGTTAAATATACTATATTGATGTCTAATTTATTTTATAAGGCATATAATTTTAAAAAATAGTTCTGGAAAAATTTGCTTACCTAATAATTGGACGCTCCCCTCTTTTTAGGTGAAAAACCCAACGTTGTCCTGGGAACCAAAGCCGTACGTCCGGTAATGCCAAATTTGAAGCATTTTCCGAAAGATCCGCACGTCTGGGGCGTAATGCTGAAAGAAAATAAAGGCACGTCAGTTGTTATTAATGTCAGGATTCCACCTTATGTTCAAATAGGAATTTGGGCCTGTCACATCATAACAACAATAGCTGGGCAAAAGGGAGTTAGAAAAGATTATAAAGTAAGTTATTTTGGATAACATATTTGTGAATATACAGGGTTGGGCATAATTGGCGGAACACCCGATTTGTGGCTCAATTATGGATTGTATTGAAAATTAACCCAAATAAAGTTTTTTGTATATTTTATGTACTATTTAATGACGCTTGGGGATTTTCATTATCTGTCATATTTATCAAGATATGACGTCATCGGATGAAATTTTAAATGAATCACCCTATATTTATATTTTTTTTCAGATAGATCTTTTCTTTCTGAATCCATTAATGTAAGGTTTGAGGGTCTCCGAGTTCATAACAAAATAGAAAGTAAACATTTATTTAATAAAAAATAATAATTATTATCAATCGAAGTATTACAAATCTCTCAAAGTAAGTGTTCGAAGTGAAAGCCTCCAACTGCCTGACAATATCCTAGTCTATCAACAAATGATCTTAAGGCATTTTGATAAACTTCAGGTGTTATTTCTTGAACAGCAATTCTTATTTTGTATTCCAATTCTTCCAGCGAATGTGGCAGGTCCTTATAAACTACTGATTTCAAATGGCCCCAAAAAATCCAGTGGGGTTAAATCCGGCGACCGTGCCGGCCACTCAATATGTCCTCTTCGACCCACCCATCTCTGTGGAAATATTGTGTTCAGGTACTGCCTCACTCTAGCATCGAAATGAGGTGGAGCACCATCTTGCTGGAACCAAATTTCATCAGAAAGTTGTAAGTGATTTCTGTGATTTGGATATAAACGAACTAACTCTGGAACTATCTGCTCTTGAAGTAGTTGCAAATAACGATCACCGTTCAGAGTTCCTCTCATGAAGAATGGTCCAATAATTCTTCCTCTAACTATACCAGCCCAAACATTTAACTTTTGTGGATATTGGGTGTGACCTTCTTCCATCCAGTGAGGATTATGATCAGACCAATACCGGCAATTATGTTTATTTACAAATCCATTGAGACAAAATGTTGATTCGTCGGAAAAAACAATGCTGTTCATCAACATATTATTTCCATTAATGGCATCCATCATTACCTGGCAGAATTGCATTCGCCTATCTGGGTCATCTTCATTCAATTCCTGGTGTAATTGCACTTTATAGGGATGAAATTTATTGACTTTCAGAATCCTCCTTACAGATCTCTCGCTCATATTATTGTCTAACGCAAGCTTTGGAACTGAAGTTTTTGGTTCTTCCTGTACACTTAGAACCACATTAAGTGCATTTTCTTCATCAGTGGCTGTCTTCTTCCGTCCAGATCTGGGATTATTTTTCACACTTCCTGTTTCATTAAACTTGCTCAAATTTCTGGATACTGTAGATTTAGAAATCGGGGAAATCCTGTCAGGAAATGTTTCATTGAACAAATTACAAGCTTCTTGCAGAGATCTCTTTCTGTCTCCAAACCCAATAATCATCAATAGTGTAATTCTTTCACGTTCACTCAGTTCAACCATGGTTTAAATTAATAAAAATTCTCAATAGTATCAAATGCTAAGAGTTATTTATTTTCGCGTATTGGGCTAGTTTGGGTGAAATGAATTGACTTGCAATTAAACTCAACTTGTTTGATTGTCTCCATAAACCAGAATGAATTAAAATCTACAGATTAATAAAAGGTGACAATAGTTTTTATAATATTATAAAAACCAAGTAAACAGTAACACAAAAACATTGGTAGGTATTTCTGTCAGAGATGTACAATAATCGTATTAATAAAACTCAGTGATTAATATCGAGATGTCAATATTACATTTTAATGTCAAAAAGTGAAACCATGGCAAAACAATTGATATTGGTACATTATGATGGCACAGACAACTTTGTGAATAGTTATTCATTAATTATTTAAAAGAACGTTTACCATTTTGTTTTATTATTTTCTGATGATAAGGAAAATCAGAGACCACCCGAACCCCATATTGATGGATTCAGAAAGAAAAGATCTATCTGAAAAAAAATATAAATATAGGGTGATTCATTTAAAATTTCATCCGATGACGTCATATCTTGATAAATATGACAGATAATGAAAATCCCCAAGCGTCATTAAATAGTACATAAAATATACAAAAAACTTTATTTGGGTTAATTTTCAATACAATCCATAATTGAGCCACAAATCGGGTGTTCCGCCAATTATGCCCAACCCTGTATATATTTCCAAAGAATGTAATAATTAATTACTGAAGGATCCCATTATTGTATTAGTGCCGAATAAAACAAATTCTTATCCCTATTTTTTTTTTCATTTTCGGCTTGCCGCTTTGATTCTATTTTACATATCTACCAGCTGAAAACTTTATTGATTTTCAGAATATTCTGATAAATATTAGTGTTTTTAAATTGAAATGTATTTCTTATGGAGCTTATTATATACACTGGACAGTCATAAATGGTAACTGACCCAAATGTTTTGATTTGGGCAATATTAAGGAATAAAGGGACCAAAAGTTTTTACATGGGAAGACTGGTTCTGCCTAATTTCTTTAATTTAGTATAGTATTGGTATAGTTTAGTTTGACCGATACTCTTTAAAATCATTGCAGCTGATGCGATAGTCTACTTCATCTATATCAATTCACCTCAGCGGGGCAATGAAAGATAATGAATTTGATAACTGAATTCCAATACAGAGTTAGGTCATAATATTTTTAGTACTATACCCATGCGTCATATTCTCGAGGGGAATCTTAATGATGATACTGACTCCTTTTTTGAATTGTATTGATATATAATACTAGAGCATCTTTAAAGGATAGCCAAATGTTTTTTTCTCTTTATACTTTACTTCTTGTTTAATACAACTATTTCTAATTCTATTATGGTCTGTTTGAATGAATATTTTTTAAGGTGTTAAGTTTTCAGAGCGGTATACGCGAGTTTGGTAAATTTAAATAAATAAAAACATGGATAATTTTAAATTAGGTAATATGTATGTAAATCTCATCAGACAAACTATTAAATATATCCGAATCTATAAATTTATTCAAATTGCTTTGTAGAGACTACAAATGATTACAAAATTATTATTCAAATATACTTTTGGCAGACGACTACTAGGTACTATGGAATTTAAATCTTAATTTATTCCAAATACTACATTGTGAGAGGGTCAAGACTAAAATACATTAATAAAATGTTAAAAGAAAAACAGAGCTAGTAATAACACCCACATATCTGTAACAGGTGATTAAGAAGATAGAATGGACCAAAAAGGCTTATATAATTGCGTCGTGAAATCAAACAAATAATGGTACATAAACAGTTAAGTGAGGAAAATTAACCAAAAAATGAACTGATTAAAAAACTTATATTGATATTTAATAAAATATATGTTTTGTTTTTTAACCGTTTAATTTTGAAAAGAAGGATATATCCATCTGGGCTGGTATAGCTAAGGGGGAAGCGACATAGACCCAGTTTTTCACTGAGACTAGAAGGTTAATAATAGTAGTCAGCTTAAGTTGGCAAGACTTTTCTAATATTCGTTTGACGAAATCACGATTATCATTTGTCTCACAGTAATGGTATTATAAAATGAACCAATGTTTTCCTCCATGTAGTGGAATAAAAACTAAAAACATTTTTGTTCTCTTTTAATTAGGACTGTGGGCCATGTGGCCTCCCCCACCTCGACCTTTTCAGATCTATTGTTGTTATCCTTTTAGATTACCCTGTCTAATTCGGCCTTTTGTAGTAGACTCCATAGACTGGGAAGTAGTTTGCTGGTCTAGCTAGTTGCCCTTGATATTTCTTCTCCAAGTGTAAGGAATTTTAGTCTTGTTAGACCTTCGCAGTAGCACAATACGTGTTCTGCCATTTCCTCCTCTTCCTGACAGAATCGGCACAAGGTCTCTTCTGTCATACCGATATTATATATGTGTTTGTTAAGCCTAAAATGTCCTGTTAATAGACCTACTAGTACTCTAGTATTTTTTCTATTAAGGCTTAGTAGATGCTCGGTGAGTTTAGGCGATGATCCTTTTAAGAACTCTTAGGCCTGTCTCTGTCCTGGTAAGTTTTTTCACCACTCCTGAGATTTTTTAAACATCCACTGCTTTGTGCATGTTCTGATAGTTGTTTTTGTTACAACACAGAAGAGTTCTGGGCCAATAAGAGCCTTTGAGGCTCTTTATTGGTACTTTCTGTTTTGTAAAGTTGACTATTGTGGTTTTGTGAGGGTTTAATTTTCCAAAAAGTTGTTATGATGTTATTAGTACGATGAGAAAATATATGTAGTGCCTCACATGCAAATGCAACGTTTTAAAAAACAATCATTTTAATAAATTAAGTAAACATACACGGTATAAACAAAGTTGTTTTCCCAGATTCTTTAGATAAAATGAAACCATACCTTATTCTAACATTTTCTCGTTTGGTATTTAAATAATCTTATTATATTTCGAAATATATGTTTTAAAAATGGTAATGAATTGAATCTTGATGAAAATATAATTTACTGTCTTTAGTCTTGTTTTTCCAGAAATCCTTGACATTTTTTTTTTCTATTTTTAATTGCAGTAAAATATTACAAATATGAACGTTTTGTAAACACATAATTTACTGTATGGCGCATTATAATTTTAAAAATTCAAATTTATGTAAATTTAGCACCCACATCAAAAGTATTCATATAAAATTTAAATGATTGAAAAAATCAAATATAAATGTTTAATTGTGTTAAAATATTTATTATTTTATTTTATTTTAATAAGTTCATAATTAAGTGTTGTAAAACAAGAAGACAAGGTTATAATTTAAGAACCTTAGTGACAAAAAAAGTTATATGAAAATGATGAATTAAAATACACTAACATAACATCCATTTGTATAAAATTAGGTGGAAGACGACGTATACATCATCTTCAACCCTTGGTGTCCGGAAGATGGAGTCTATATGGAAAACGAAGAAGAAAGAAATGAATACGTAATGAATGAAACTGGAAAAATCTGGACTGGAACATTTAAAAAACCTACTGGAAAACATTGGATTTTCGGTCAATTTGATGAAATATCTTTACCCACAGCTATATTCCTTTTGGAAAAATCTGGTTTAGCCACTGCGCAACGAGGAAATCCAGTGATGATTTCCAGGGCTATTTCTGCGATGGTAGGCATTATTTTAGGTTAATATTAGTTTGTGGAAAACATTTTAAATCCTACTATACGTAGACTTAAAACTACTGATATTTCACTATGATTGCAAGCACAGATATATAATATATAGTATTAATATTCTCCAATTTTTTCTACTTTCCATAGCTAATTATTTTTACTAATTCTTATTTAAATACATTTTACATTCAATTTCATGATATTTCATTTTTTAATAATTTTTTTAAGTTTTACATATAATTTTATATTGGTTATTTACAATAGATTCGATTTTTTCACAATTATTCGTTTCATTGTTTCTTTTGTAGTTTTGGTATATTGTTGAGCTACGTAATTGTTTCATTTTAATTAATTTATTTTAAATTTCTAAAAATGATAAAATTATTTTCTGGATATCTAGAGTCAAGTTTTGGAGAGTTAACTGCTATGACAGCAGTTGTATGAAGTGAGGAAATGGGGCCCTAAATGGAGTGATGACATCTGACTGTATTGGGAGTGAGGAATAATGTTTCTTTCTTCGCAAAAGTCCCATATTCTGTCTTTGAGCAGAAGTTCAAGAAGTTTACCTAGGAAGAGAGATTGGACGGTATGAGCCTAAGGATTTGGAATTCTTGCTCGATTTGGTAATGAAAATGGTGTTGGCTGATTTTCATGCAAGTGAGACGTAGGTAAAGGCAAGGTAGGCGTTTAGGAGAAGGGTAGGGATAGGAAACAGTTTCAGCGATCTTCTGTTTATACAATCAGGGTCTGATGCCGTGTTTTTGCCTGATTTAGAGGCATATTGGATGTCTTGGAGAGTGAATGGGGGTAAGGGGTGTTCTGACATCTAATGGTTAGACTGAAGCTGCAAATATCTGATGGAGATTGAGTTTGGTTTTATGTCGGAAACGGTCGTCAAAGTAGAGGTTATCAGTGGTTCTGAAAATGGCTTGAAGTTGTGTTGTGAGGTAATGCTTTCTGGTCAGGAGTGGTGTTTATTTCACCATCAGTTCCAAGGTGGGAATGTGATTTTGATTTTTGACCTGTGATTAGTTGGAATTTGTCCCAAAACCGTTTCTATAATCCAAATTTGATCCATTGTTGTTGTTTGTGTAAGTTTATTTGGAACATGATGAGGACGTTGAAAGGGTTTCATTCCGTTTTGATAACACGGCCATGGACATGGATGTATTGTCTATACAATGTATTTTTCCGGAGAAGTAGATTTAGACTGAATTATTATGGAAGGCCTTTTTGTGATACATGTATTGACTGAAGTCATTGGGGCTGAAGTTTGGACAACGTAGGTGATGGTGATGGATTGCAACAGTGTATTACAGAAGACGGTTTAAAATACAAAATTAATTATTAAAATATACGCAACCATATTCCTCATTTGTTTTTCTCTAGATTAACGCTGTTGGTGATGGAGGTCTACTAGAAGGACGTTGGGATGGAGACTATTCTGATGGGACGTCGCCGTTTTCATGGGCAGGCTCTACATCTATTATGGAACAATATTTAACCACCGATGGTACCCCAGTGAAATACGGCCAATGCTGGGTATATGCTGCTACTACCGTAACAGTATGTAGAGCTATAGGTCTGCCTTGTAGAGCTACCACTAACTATGTATCTGCTCATGATACTAATAGTTCGTTAACTGTTGATAAGTAAGTATAATATATTGATAATTATTCGGGTATTACCTATATTCACATTCGTCTGCAATTTTTAACCGACTTCAAAAAAGGAGGAGGTTATCAATTCGTCGCGATATTTTTTTTTATGTATGTTCAGCGATTATTCTTTAACACGTTGTCCGATTTCAATGATTCTTCAGGGGTAGTCCCATATAAATTTAGTCAAAATCTAATAATTGGGTCCATGAGAAAATCCTCAAACTCTTCATTTTTTATGTATGTTTAGCGATAATGATTTACCACCTTGTCCGATTTATATGATTCATTTTTTGTTAGTAAGGGGATACCTCAGGGGTGGTCCCATATAAATTTAGTTAAGATGTGGTCATGGCATCTGCACGTTTTTGAAGTCGGTTTTTTTGAAATTTTTAATTTCTAATACTTGTGACATATTTGTCCCTTTCTTAATAGAAAGCATTAATGTTCATATTTTGAAATAATGTTAGAAACAATGTATTCAATAACTTATGAGTTTGGCACAAACTTTTTTTTTAAACAATTCTTTATATTTTAGATATTTTGATATATTTGGTGAAAAAATCGAAAACGGTCCTGATGGGGCATGCAAAGATTCCTGCTGGAATTTCCACGTATGGAACGACGTCTGGATGTCAAGACCGGAATTACCTGTGGGTTATGGAGGTTGGCAAGTTATTGACGCTACTCCTCAAGAATTAAGCGACAATTCAATGAGATGCGGTCCTGCATCAGTGGTGGCTGTTAAAAAAGGCGAAGTCGGCCATTTGTATGACACTCCATTTGTGTTTTCCGAAGTTAATGCCGACATAATGCATTTCCAAGAAGACGAGGATTCTGATTGGGGATTTAGCAGAACTTCTGTTAATCAGTATCAGTAAGTAAATGTTAAATTAATAAAGAATGGTATTATTCGAAGATTACAATTTTAACACGAAAATAGGTCGGTTTTTCTTGAGACGCTTACCACTTCTTCGTCTAATTTCTGATCTACCTGTTCTCTTAGTCTTTTTCTAAGATTCTTGTGTATAGTTTGAAGCTGGTTTGGACTAAACATATAGTTATGTAGTTGTCGCATTCACTTTGTCTTCCTTTCTTGTGTAAATTATTTTTAAAAACACATTTATAAATTCAAACTATATAATTTTTATGAAATCTATAGATTGTCCACTAGTAATAATTGCAATTATTATACTTTTAAATAACATTCTATTACTGCCGGAGTAAATGTTAAGCTAACAAGAGAAGCACAGTGGTGTCCTTAACATTTTTATTTTGGGAATGGTTTAAATTGTTTGATTTTAATAGAAAGTAACTTTTCTACTAAACTTTTTAAAGCCCATGTGCATAAAACTGATAAAACAGTGTTCAGATAGTAGTAATTGAGTTTGAATTTTAAACCTTTTTTAGCGTGGGACGAATGATTTTGACAAAAAAGCTGGGACCAACAGATGACAGTGGCGACAGTGATTATATAGATATAACTCATTTGTATAAAAATAAAGAAGGAACCGAATCAGAACGTCTTGCTGTTTTTAATGCAGTTCGAGGTGTTCCAAAGGCTCAACATATCTACCATCTTCCAAACAAAGGTAAGTTATAGAGACAGAGAGCTTTAAACATAGTTCATATCTATTAGAATTTGAGGTCTTATTTATCCTTATATGATTTAATTTTTAAAGAAAATATTTTGTGCCATTAGTAATCTATATTACCTTAATATAAATTAAATATTGTATTACAATTGCAGGAGAAGAAGATGTGTCATTCGATCTCCTAGACATTGACACTGTACCATTGGGTCATAAGTTTACGGCGTTGGTCAAAGTTGAGAATAAATCCACAGCAGAAAGAACCGTCAAAATAACGTTATCAGCCACGTCGGTTTACTACATGGGTAACATAGCTAATGACCTCAAGAAATCAAGGGGAGTTATTAAACTAAAGCCTGGTCAAAAAGAAACGGTAAGGCTGGAAGTACTCCCAGCAGTCTATCTTGGCAAGCTTGTCGACCATTATTTTGTGAAAATTTACTCGATAGCAAATGTTGAAGAAACGAAGCAGGTGTGGAGTGAAGAAGACGATTTTTGTCTGAGTGTTCCAGACGTTGTAATTGATGCACCAAAAGTCGCTAAGACCGGTGAAAAATGTAACGTCAAATTTAGGTAAGAAAATATTTAACTAAAAAAACAATGTTGGTTTCAGCCAGTTTCATAATCTTAAATAACCTAGCGGTTAACAGTCAGTTTCATGATCGGTGTTGAACTCTTACTATTAAAGTATCTTTATCAGGGCATTAACCAGCTAGGTTCGATTTTCAATTATTACACTGTCCAATACTAATTTTATTGCCAACAATATATGCGCGATTTCTAGGTAATTTTGTGGTGCTTATTACGAATATGAAGTCTATTTAGTTTGATTGGCTCTATTTTTGGAGAAATATTAGAAAATTTTGATAAAATAAAGAAATAAATCACTTTAAGAGACCAATAGTCCCCATAAACTTGCTTATGGGGTAGTAAAAATGACAGTGTTGTCGAAAAAGCGAACCGATATAGTAAAACAATAAAATCCATAATGAGGAACATCACGTTGGAGGCTCCAGCAATACACGGAAAAAAAATTGTAGAACAAATTTCTACAATTGTAGATTTTTTCTCTACAATAAATAGTACATATAGGGACAGGGACAATTTGTAGTAAAAATTTCCAAATATTTGTGGAGAATGTATTGTAGAGTTATTATCTACAATATTTAGTAAAAATATCCAAATGCATCATAAGAATTGTTCTACAAATTGTTATAATTTTTGCTATTCATTGTATGAATTTATATTAAAAATGTATTGCGTTTTATGAAAATAAATACGAAAATTTGACACAATAAATAGTAAAAATTCATACAAATTGTAGTAATTTTTAATAAAATTTGTAGTAGTATTCCATAATTATTATAATTATAACCTAGAAAAAAATGTTCCTTAATAAAATATTCAATTTATTGTTTTAATATAAAAGATACAAATTCCTAATTACATTATGTAACAAATAACAGTAATAATAGAGCCCTCAGTCTCAGTTGGCTTTTCTGCATCTGAAAAATATGAAATAAAAATTAATGCCAATTGAATTGTTCATACCCTTAAAACGGGGATATTTATCACCTTTACACTGATTTGGATATTAAATGACTAAATCAGATAACTAACAAAAATGAGAAAGTAGGTATGTCACAATTAAGACAAAAATACATCATTGAACTTGGCACAAAATTCGATCGTTGGGCACAACATTCGATCGTTGGCCACAACTATTTTTTTAAAATAATCTACTAAGGTTATTTAAATTAGTTATCTAAAGGTAAATTATTCAGAAACAATAATAAATGTACTTACCACCAATAGAATTTATTATTAAAATTTTCTCAAACGCATCGGTGCTTATAATATAATAATGTGTTATAGATACTCGTATATGTACCATGCTTTGTTATGTGAACATGGCGAACGGCTACTGCTGTCTGGCCGTTAATGATCGACGTCAGAAAACGTTGGCCAATAGCAGAATTTTGTTTTGTTCACATGACTTAGAATTTCTACAATATTATAGAATATTTTTGAAGAAGGGATGTAAAGTATTACTATTTTTTGTAGAGATAATTATTAATATTTGTACAAATTTTTACAGAAGTTAATAGTAATAATTACAATAATTGTAATAAATTTCTACTTCTACAAACAATAGTAAAATATACTAAACATTGTGGACTTCTTTCCTATTGTTGTAGCATTTTATTCGACAATTCAATTGCTACAATAATGAATAGTTTTTAACTATAAATTGTAGTAAAATTTTCTACAAATTGTTAAGTATTTTTCTACAAGTCTACTACTACAACATTGTAGTAAAATTTTCTAGTCACATTTTTTTCCGTGTAGTCTGCCATCATATGCTTATCCCATCTACCCTGATATCTTTTCCCCATCGCCTTTATATCCTGGTGGAATCTTTCCCCTTGTTCCTCACTTCAGTCGCCAAGATTGTCGGGAAATTTATTCACTATGAAGAAAGTGTAGTTTAATTTTCATATTAGTACCTAAAGTTCAATAACATCTGTTGCACCAGTTGCTCGTAATTCTCCGCTTTGTGGTTACCCAAGAAGTTCTTAACCACCGAAATAAAGCTCACCAAGCATCAGCTTCAAGTGTCGTCATGTGATTTGTAAAATTAGAGTCCTTAATAAGTTTGTGAATTTGAAAACCATCAAAAATACCCACTTTTAGCTTTTCCATACTTAGCCTAGGAAACGATCTACATATGTATTTGAAACACTCGCCATTATTCAAAGCTTTAACAAATTATTTCATTAGTCCTAACTTGATGTGGAGCGGTGGGAGTATGATTGTTTCACGCTCAGCCAATGGTTCGTTTATGATTTTTGCTGTTCCTAAAATCATATTTTGTTTCATTAGCCAATTAATCTTCTTCCAATGATCTTGCTTCGCCCTACTATCCCACAAGCAGATAAAACAAGGGTATTTCATGTACCCTCCTTACTGCCCAAGCAAGAAGTTCACCATTTTTAGATCCACACAAATGGAAAACTGATGATCTTCATAGGAGAGTTTCTGCAATACTAACTTAATGTTTTGATATTCTTCTTTATGTCTTGTTACAATCACCAAATGTTCCGCCATTTTGGTGGTTTTCTTCCCATTTTATAAAACATTTATTTATAAGTAAGGTAACATCGTACAAAGGACTATTGTCTCCACAGGAAAAAATACTCCTAAATCTCCTTCGGTTCTAAATCTCCTCTGTTCCTAAATCTCCTTCGTTTCTATATCTCTTCGTTTTAATGATCTGAAATAAATTAAACATATTATTAGTCGATCAAAACAATATAGTTAAGTCAGGTTAGCAAACAAAATATGACGGCTGTCGAATATTCTTCTCGGTTAGGAGGTGGTCCTAAATGGCTTAAGGTTTCGGCGACCCTGAAGGTTGAGACCTTGACTGTCAGTCCAGAATATAATTAGGCAAGAAGAACTTCCTTGGTGGAAATCGCCTCCATTTTGCCTAACGGTTTCCGGTTTTGTTTTGTGGTTAGGATTAAAGAAAATAACTGTCCTTAGATCTTGGTTCTCGTGAGTTGTGTGTATCGATTTTTCGGATTTTTTCCAATTATAAGAAATTAGATCATTGTCAAAAATAATTATTAATAGATCTAGGGATCTATTTATCGCAATTTGTGGATTTTCTTTTGACTCTATATCAGCTTACACCTTGAGGCCCCATTACATCTGTGGTAAGTGCCCCGCTTAATGCCAACAGTCCGCTTTAGGTAGGAATTTTACTCACCTGCCTATATTATTTTAGGCCTTCTTTCTTTGAGTCTGAATATAACGCTAGGAAAATCATAGTCTAGGGTTTCCATAACCGCCCTTCTTTTCTTATCCTTGCTATCAGCACAAGGGTTGAACCAGTTAAGTTTCTACCAACTCATCGGCGCAGAATCCTGCTGAACGCCGAGACGCTTGAGACTATCTGCAACAGGGAAAAAGAAACCACTAGTAACCGAGTAAATATATCAGAAGGGTGTACTTACCAGGATAGTTTCCACCCTGAGACAGCTCCTACCATCGAAGAAGGCATTACGGGAGAAACAAGGAAGCTCTTTCCGTAACATTTGGGACTTTGAAAGTGAAAAACCTTTCGAACACATAGTTTTAAATCATTTGAACTTTAGATATAGGTTATTTAAGGGTTATTTCGAAAACCTACTTGAACGTTTAATTTTAGGTAATTTAATATAGGTTATCTACTTTTGATGACGAAGAACCATATTGATATTTAGTTCTGAATTAATTAAACAAATCGCTTGTCTATTTATCACGTATAACACCCATTTACTATAGTTTAGTTTCATTTACTAGTTTCGAAGGCGATTGAACGCGAAGAAACACCCAAATATTTAGTTGTAGGTCACTGTATATGTGAACATATACACATTGGGGCGGTAGGACTGCATCTTATTAAATTTGTAACATTTTGTGGCATAGCCATTTAATAACAAGCCACCCTAACACCTTCAGACCACAACTACAGTATTATAACGTCAATTGTTGACCCTCTAAAATCAATACATTACTTCAAATACACGCCGCAGTTTTATTAAATTATTTTTATTGACTTATCAGACAAATTCTCACGGAACCCTTGATATTACCATTTAATTATCCACCAAAATACTAAAAGGGTATCAGTTTTGTCGAGTGGGCGATAGGAATTGAAGCATATCGGTTGCCATTCTGTAGCAAAACACACTTTAAGCTTCTACTGGAACTGTCTATGAACAGTCGCCAGTCACTTGGAACAAATCGAATTTCCATTTGACGAAGAAGTCCGTGAATATTGTTGCAATTAAAGAGATCTTCACCTTGACTGAAGTAAGGAACAAGTTTAACCTCTCGTATTCTATAAATTGTTATTTATATATCTGGCTGTAGACAGTTTTTTTCTTTTAACCTGGATGCTAGAAGTTCAGATTCTTGCTTTGATAGACCGAGGTCCCGTATCAGGTCATTCAGTTCTTTTTGGGAGAACTGCTGGGGTGTTGATAGTATCCCCTCACATTCACTTTCACTGCTGTTACTGTAATGGTCCTCAATTTCTTCTACTTCTGTTATCTTTTCGTTATGTGGCACAGGTGTTCGTGCTGATTCTAAATTCTAAATCTCCACATCATGGGCACTCCAAATTTTAAACTTTTTCTCTTTTGGTTTGTCCATTGTCGTAAAGATTCGACACAAGTTTTGCACACTATATGGGGAGCCCAGGACTTGTTTTGGTCTCCAAGCACTACGCCAAAATAACCTTGATAAGCTTGCCTAACAAAATCTGTGATATTTTTTCTTTTCTACAGTATATTCGTCACAAATGTATTAGAAGACATTGGGGTTATTCAAGCAGCTTCTTCGTGAAGAACTCATTCCTCTGAAAAATAAGCGTAACTTTGTTTTTATTAAAATACAAGGTGGCGCAAAATAAAGTCCCCTATTTGTTTTTTATATAAAAGTAAGATTAATTAAAGTCATATTATAAATGAAAAATATTTATTTAAACTCTAAAAATTTGTTTTGTTACACTTTAAAAACAATATCGACCAAATGGCCTCCCTTAGCATTAATGCAATACTGAGCTCTTTTTAAAGTATTTTTCATAACTTTCTCCAACGTTTCTGGTGGTATTCTGTTAATTTCTTCCTGGATGTTGTCTCTTAATGCTTCTAGTGTTCGAGGATTAGTTACAAATACCCCATCTTTGAGGTTACCTCATAACCAAAAGTCTGGAACAGTTAAATCGGGAGACCTTGGTGGATATGCAATATCGGTGTTTTTCGAGATAGGCGCCCAGGAGAAATTCTGATAATCGACGAATTATTTTGATAAAAAAATTTACGATTTTGGCACATTGGCCACTATGACAACATTCCATAGGGTACTTGATTTTGCGCCACCTTGTATATACAAATATGCGTCACCTATACCTTATACTTGACGTTTTTTACATTTAAATAACTTCACTAGGTAGGTAATACGAAATAAATACACAAAATAGGTAAGAAAAGCACAATAACCGCGACGCTAAGTCCTTAGTATAACTGCTTACGCTTAACTGATACTTACAATCATTAAAGTTAAAATCTAGAGACAAGAGACAAACGATTGCACGCATTGATCACGTGGTCAACAGTCAGCACGTGAGTAGACAGGGTCGAACTCTCGTGTCTGCGCAAAATGTGTTATTTGTCAATTCTTAAAAAATAAAAAGCATCTATTATGGCAAAATTTCTTAAAAAATGATGGTATCCGCTATCTCAAAAACGAGAACCAATTTGGAAAATCTGCTTTTATTTTTAAATTCAGCACGCCTGAATTATCCCAAATTCATTCAAAAATACTTGACAACAAATTTTTTTTTGAAATTTTGTAGGGCGGTGTTATTTATCTATTGATTAAAGAACCTGTTGATTATATTTCAACATTTCTAAATAGCAAAGTAGTTTATTTTTTTGAATTCAGATAATAAAAAAAAATTGAACAATATAGGCTCATTGCACCATCGTGGATAAACCAAAATAATTCATTTCAAACTATGCTTAGTCACGCGAAGTAATTTTCTCTAATTGTAAGTATCAGTCTATTGTAAATATTTTAAGAAAATTATATACATCATTTTAGCACGTTTTAACTGTGCTTTTAAGAATTTTAAATAAGTCACGTAATTTAAATAAAATTTTCACTTAAATTTTGATGGGTAATAAAATAATGTAAAAATAAATATTATTTTTTTTATGACTTAATTTAAAAAAATATTATTTATTTATTTTAATCTCTACATTCGTTACATGCATTTTTATTAATAGAAAAGTACTGATAAATATTTAATTTATTATTCATTTGAGGAAATATAACCTCACATAATTGAATTTGACTATTTACAGTAAGGATTCGCAAAATTATTGAAAAATCAAGCCATCATCAATTCCACGTTATTCCTGTATAGTCTGAATAATCGTTGATCTTTATGCTATTTAAAAATGCTTTCTGAATACGGAAGAGATATTTTGTATGTTATTTTTTTACAGCTTCAAGAATCCATTAGATATGCCATTAACAGAATGTACATACACCATCGAAGGTCCAGGAGTCAGTAAAGCTAAAGAGAATAAATTCAGGGATGTAAAACCCAACGAAGTGGTCACTCTTTCTGAGAGCTTCACTGCCAAGAAAGCTGGAGTCAAGAAGATTGTCGTTAACTTTAATTCAAAGCAAGTTCACAATATTCATGGAACTTCAGATATAACACTTACATAATTGAATATGCTCTTATATTATAGTAGTATATAATATATATGTACCAATTTATGTTTAAATTTAATTATCATTTATTATTTTTGTTTAAAAGATTCTTATATACAAATTAAAACAAATTATAAACAAGTATTTTAATTTACCTATTAATAATTTTAATTAACATTTGTGTGAACAATCATTTAAAAAAATATTTGTTGTTCTGGTCAAACTTACTAAAGGTACGTGGACACTAGCAAGAAACTTGCGACATTGCATTTTGACCGGTAACCGACAAAATGTATAATGCTCAAAATTACTGTAAATTACTAGTATGAAATCGTGGATTTTATACCAAAATGTGCGAAAAACTATGAACCATGTGTAAAAAATTAATATAAACAGTAATAAAATCTTATAATAAAGTTATTTAATAATAATTGTGCTGTGTACATACTGAAAAAAGTGGTCTCTGATAACAATGTTAAATCGATAAAAAATATAAATCATTAACAGATAATGGTGTCGTGAATATTACAAACAATATAATGTTTTGAACTATGGGTGAAACAAGTAAACATGTCAAATTTTGAACTTTTGAAGTTATTAAGAAATTAAATAAAAACAGATAATCAAATAAGAAAATCGATTCTAGAAGATATACACAAAGAAAATAATAAGATAATTAAAAAATTCGACGAATGTTTTTTGACCTAATCCATTTTTCTTCGTATCCGGATCACCTAATCTTCACCGGCTATATCTTCTCCAGGACGGCATCCAAACTTAAGGTCACACGGTAGTCTCATCTCACGCCCAAACAGCACCTTCGTTGGTGTTTGGCCTCTAGATTCATTGACAGCGGATCTATATGCCATTTCGAAGAGCGAAAGATTGGAAATTACTTTTGACAGGTATTTGCCAATGGTCTTATTCATTCACTCTACCATTCCATCCCTAATAACACCGATCTGCCAGAAACATCCCATTTAGGTTCCATGTATGTTTCTATGTTTTTGACATAAATGGTACGTCCCTACGATGTATCTAAAGAAACGTTTCTGGAATGATTTTCCAAGAATGTTTTAGAAACATCGTAATTATGTATTGGTATTATATTTTCGTTTTAAATATTATTTTGAAATAATAAATTGTAAAATTACTGCAGTCGCCAGAAATCTACAATAATATCAAACTCCAATATTAAATTTGAACATTTTGAACAATATTTTTATTTCACAAGACAACTGCTACAGGTCAAATTTATCTTTATTAGTTCATTCAAAAAAGAGTGCAAAGCAAATATGACAGAGATAAATATACATTTGTTGCACCAGTCCTTTACATAATCGGAACTGATCATCCAATAAAACCTTTCACGAACTCGCTGAAGGGTTTTCTTAACACCCAGATGTCCTCCTGATGGAGTGTCATGTAACTGACGAAGTACTTCGGCTACTCCAGTCTTTGGAATGACCAGCTGTCTTCTGTTTTCGGAACCATCACCGTTCTCTAGTACTCGCTTTAATAAGTCTTCTTCTAGGATAAAGGAGTCCCACTGAGCCCAATATGACTTAATTACTGGAGAGAGTTTCAGTACTTCTTGCCAAGTAGGTCGACGATTATCATCTTTCCATTGTCGCATCTTCTTTAAAACGGGATCGTTCTCTTGTTCTTTCCTAAGTTTGACAGGAGCCCTCTCATCGCTGACAACCGTCGTTCGTCGTACTGTAACTTCTTTAGCAGATGTGGCCAACCCCTTTCCAAACATAGTTCTTTGACCAACATCTTCTTTACAATTCGAAGGTTCCCCCGTAGCAAGCGTTTCTTTCTCTACAGTTCCCTGCAACCGCGTTACTCTTATGGTTCCACTTATCTTAGATACGACTCTTCCTGTACAGCGACCGAAACAATTTTTCGATTCATAGTGTTCTTTGGCAGTTTGCGAGAACTTCTTACATTTCCTATTTCACCGCAATTCCAGTACCTAATAATCTTCGGTTGCTTTTCAATAAGGCTTTTTATCATGTGAAACAATTGGCCCAATGTACTTCCCTGTTCTTCTTTTTTTACAGTCCTTACTGCACTGTATCCATCAAAAGCCAGCGTAGCAGTGCGGACAAGACATCGCCAATGTTTTGTGACGGGCTAAACGGAGTGTTCTTTGCATTTCATGGTCAATGAAGTCTATCTACAAATGCTTGAACAGCCAAATATTTAATCATGTTAGCACAGGGTTGGCTTTTGCGCGACATTAAGAAATATTAATTTTTATTAAAAATATGATTTATTAATAGTTACAAACTATTTATTTGAGAACAAACAACAAATGGTTTGTGAACATTAAAAATACATAACTTAGGCCATATCCAGCATACTTATTTGTTAACTGTTAATGTATTTTTTCTACACCCACATGGATATAAGCTTATCTACGCACAGATTACAAAACGAAAAAGTATGCTATTGCCTTCAAATGAACGAATATATTTCATATCCATTCTAGGTAGTGAAACTCACCAATCACCGTTCATATTTTGATCAACCGACTGCTATTATTTTTAAAATTTTAAATAAGTGAAAATAGTGTCAAACATACATTTAAAATTGGATATTCTTGTGTAGTATCGATAAATAATAGCATTCCTGTTTTTATTTCGTCTATAATTATAAATAATTTGTTAATTGCCAATAATAACAAAACATATGAGGTCAATTTAATTACGAGTATTAAAGCAACAAAAATAAAAGAATAGGTGGTCCTGTGGTTAGCGTACTTGTCTTCCATACGGAAGACTGAAGATCGATTCTCGGATGGGGAAAAATGAAATGAACTTTTTTCTTTTTTTAAGTTTATTTTATTTTAACAATTATTAAAAGTCATAAATTATTTTAAAATTAGCTTTTTTAATGACCTAAAATATATTTTTATTTGTAAATTTTCGTTTGTGGGTCGTAAAAAAATATACTGTACAACTCGAGTGGATTGTCCACATCGCACTCAGACGATTGAGCACTCCGCCTACGGCTTCGTGCTCAAGTTTCGTCTTCGTGCGATATGACCATCATATCCATTCTTGTTGCACAAACTACTATTTTTTAATGCTAACAAATTTTTCTATCAGTGCACATATCTCGATGAAATATTTGTAGGACGCCGGATTGGACGACGTTGTGCAATTGAATGGACACCAAGATATCCAGATTTAGACAAGCTTTATCAAAATAGGCCGGCTAATATTAAAGATCTAAAAATCTGATGTGTCCAACACATGACTTTCCTATCTAGGTATTACAGGCTTTTTCCGGTTATTTTGTACAATCTATTGCAGCATCTCTATAAATGTTTAGAGGATAAACTAAATATATACATTGTCCACATACATCTACCGCGAAACATTTTTCTATAGATATTCATTGAAAATGAAAATACTGAAAAATTTAAATTTAGCACTTTTCCTACAATTTTTCCATTACGGTCCATTTTAAAAAAATCATGTATAAACAAATATTATAGAGATCGATATCGCAAACAACTTTTATTTCAACAATTTTCATAAAAATCAGAATTTTGCACATTTTGTCAAATTTTTCGAATACGGACCATTTCAGGAAATTTTTGCAAAAGGCAAAAATTATAGATAATAATATTAGAAGTAACTTTTATTTGAACAATTTTTTTCTTCAAACATAAATAACAGATATATTCCATAAAATATAAAAACGGCCTCCCATAAAGTACCCCCCCAGATGTTCCGACTTTGTCCAAAATCTAATCATTTCACGTCAGGCCGAAATAAAACTTAAGTTTAAAATTTAATGTTTTTTTCTTTATCCATTTTTGAGTTTTCTTCAAATTTCGAAATTTACACATTTTCTCAAATATCTCGAATACGGTCCATTTTAGAGAAATTATCTATAGGATAAAAATTATAGAGAATTATATTACAAACAACTTTTGTTTAAACAATTTTTATAAAAAAAAATATTTTTTTACATTTTGTCAAATTTCGCGAATACGGACCATTTTAGGAAAATTTTGTATATAACAAAAATTATAGATAATAAAATAAGAAGTAACTTTCATTTAAAGAATTTTCTTCCCCAAACGTAAATAACAGATATATTCCATAAAATATAAAAATAACCACCTATAAAGTACCCCCCCAGATGTTCCGACTCTGCCCAAAATCTAATCAGCTCATTAGACCTTGGAACAAAGCTTAAGTTTGAAATTTGGTGTTTTTCCGTGTATCGGTTCATGAGTTATGCGTTATACAGACACACACACACACACACACACACACACACACACACACACACAGACACACACACAGACACACACACACACACACACACACACACACACACACACACAGACATCATCGCGAAAATAGTCAAAACGGATTCAGGGGACCTCAAAACGTAAAAATCCGTCGAAAACTCGAGGTCGAAAAAAATCATGATTCCTATACTTTCCTTATATCTGTATACAGATAGGAAAGTAAAAAACAGAATTAGAGTGGAATCAAATAACATACCGGCTGAGGCTATTCAGAATTCCATTGACGGACTTTACGATCGCCTGGGAGCCTGCCAAGTAGATTTTTTTCATTTCCCAATAACCACATAAGTAAAAGAAAGAAAAAAAAGGGTATGGTGAGATTCCATTTTTCACGAGTGTTTCAATGACCCTACACACGACATACATTTGCATTTAAAAAAAAAGTTGGGTAGAGTTGCAGCTAAGGGGTCAAAGAAAAGTAAAATCAATTCACGGGTTGCACCGTTTTTTTAAGTTACTGCTTAAACAGATAATAATTTTATTCCGGACTTTCGCGCAACTCTGTATATTAAAACCACTAATATATATTGCGAAAATCTCTGACCTAAAATAAATCGTGAACATTCATTTGGGTCTTAAGACACTCTGATCTTTCGATGTGCTGTCTACGTTACATACCACGTTCGCTAGAGCCCGCTGTGAATTACTTTTGGGACAACACTCGTATCATTTAAGATGGCCACATTAGACCAGTTGGATACCCTTCTTCAGTTACCATTATGACCCTTTTTCGTTTTCGTAATAATTAATATACATTTATGCACAAGAGGAAAACAAGATGCTTCATTCAATTTTACCGTATGTCTTGAGGTGCGTGGGATATTTAAAACGCCTCTGTTTGTTATTATTTAACCAGTCGATCTCGCTATCCGTCAGTTGATGGTGCAATGCGCGGCATCGCGAGACTTTCTATTCTTCAATTATTTGATGAGAGTGAAATCGACCGTGAAACTTAAAAGCTAATAATAATTAGATAATGCATAAAATAAATAAAAGTTCGTTATAATTGATTAATAGACTAAAAATGGGCAGATTTCATTTTCCGACACGGTGTTGTTCTGGAGGATTCAGCTCTTTTAGGGCCAGGTGGAGTCCTAATGCAGATTTACAACTGCAGCCTATGCCCAAGCCCAAGGAAGCTGGTAATATTTGATTACAATTTATTTAGTATAAGTAGTGTACAGGGTGGATCGGATTTAATTTGGGTATACATAGATGTCATAAACCGCAAGATATACAATGTCTTTGAGTGACAGGGGAAGTCCAGGAGTTTATATCGTCTTAGTCTTTGGATTTGTTTACTAGTTTCTAGAGGTTCATGCCAATTGCTAACAAATTATTGGGTGTGCGAATAATCAAAGTAACCCTCAGCGGAGGCAAAAGTAGGTACTTTTATTTCTTTGTAAATAGCCTGTCAAAAAAATTAAAACTTTAACAAATTGGTAGTAAAATGTTACGAGATTGTAGAAAGAGATAATTTTTTATTCAATATCATTGGCAAAATCTACTAAGGTTATTAGCATTGTGTTCTGTGTAGGCTTTGTTTTTCTAGCACCTCTTTAGAAATGGCATTGATAACTTAAAACCTAACAGTGAATGGTCGGTAGAAATCAAAAGTCCCGTCTCTAACCACTGAGCCACCCATTAATAATAAAGCAAAAATATTATTAATATTAATATAATTATTATATAAAAAAAGACTAATTCGACTTTTAAATTTTAAATATCGGTTTTATTTAATAAATTTAAAAAATGATCTACATTAAAATATTGTACATATCTTCATTAACCTTAATAAATTAAAAAAAAATCTATTTATACCTTTATACTGAAATTATCTAAGTTCTTAATACATTCAACGTTCGCTTTCCAATAAATTTTATATCATTTTTATTATTTTAAACCGATATTGTACAGCTGTTCCTGAACATATACAAATAATCAGTTATTTCATTACTACTTTGCTTGTTATTGGTTTCTCATTCGTTTTAATGCAACACGAATATAATAAATACAGTGTCGGCCACTAAATATTTTCGAATACCCTTTGCACGAGTCCATGTCAAAATTATAGGAAACGAATAACATCAGCGTTAACAGTTTATACGGCTCGATCTCGTTGTAACGTTAGTACAAATTGGCAACGCTGATATTTATTTCAGAAAGGATAATTTCCTGACCGTAGTAGAATTTTATATAAATAAAAACTTCTTCGGTTTATTCGGTCGTTTTTATTATTTTTATAAAATTTAAGTAAAGGCACTACATAAGTTTTTATTTATATAAAACATTTATTTCCTGCTCGCAATAATGCTGTCTGTAGTTTTCACTAGAGGTGGGCAAAATAATCGATTCATCGATTATTTTAAATAAATCGATTATTTTTTATTAAACGATTATCTTCGATTATGTTTTAACCTTTTCTAACCCGATAGCTCAATGTGTCGAGCGACCGTGTATTTAATAATTAATCCCTCCTTTAGTGGTAAAGCGAGACATTGCTTAGGATACCATAGCAAACTATGTGAATTTAAAATGAATTATCAGGTTTTTTTTTTGTAAAGGGTGTCCTAATTTGACCTTCGGATTTAATTTAATAAAAAAACACAAAAGTCCTTAAAATAATATATTCTTGTATTATTTTAAAGTTTAAATGTTACGGTTAATAATGAAAAATGATATCCGGCATGTGACCCTTCTGCTTCTCTAGCATGCTAACATTCTTTTTACAAAATTTTCAAGAACATTTTCGCAAACATTCTGTTCAGTTTCTTAATTTTTTTGAATAATGTTAACTCGAAGCTGTTCAGGTGTTTAAAGGTTATTAGCATAAATTTTTCCCTTCAAAAGGCCCACAACAAATAATTCAATTGTGTAAGATTGCACGATCTAGGCGGATAATTAACCTCAGCTCTTCGAGAAATTATTCGAATGCCAAATCTCTGCCTTTAGTGTTTTATCCGATGTGTGGCAAGTGGTACCGTCTTGCTGGAACCACATGTTCTAATTCGTTTCACAAATAATCTCGTATCGCACTCCATTCTCAGTTATCGAATCACCAGCTTCATTCTGGAAAAAATAAGGACTAAGAACGCCACTATATCAAAAACTACACCACACAGTCACATTTGCTGGATACAATCGTTTTTCCAATATTTCTCTTGTATTTTCTTCGCCCCATATTCTGCTGTTGAAATCTTTTTATAAAACTCTCAATAAGGCATCTTCTGGTAAGGCTGTCATTTCCTAAAGTGATAAACGGTTAACCGGTTCGACTGATTTTGACCGGTTTCAGTTTAAACCGGATTTTTACTATTATAATAACTGGTCCGGATATCCGGTTAACCGGTCCGATTATCTAGTTAATCGGTCTGTATATCTGGTTAAACGGTCCGGATATAAGGTTAACTGGTCCGATTATCTGGTCAACCGATTATCCAATTAACCGGTTAATCGGTCAGATAAAACCGAGCCGGTCGAACCGGACCGGTTAGACCGGAATCGGCGATTTAACCGTAACCGTGAACAGTTAAACCAGTCACTGGTTTAACTGTAACCATCACCGGCCTAATCGTGGCCTATTTTGCATATTTTGCATGTTTTATTATTACATTTGGAATGTTTATATTTGTTTTTATAAAATAAATACAGTATCATTTTGTTTTACTTACTTTTAAATGTAAGTTTTAAAAATATTGATGTTTATAAATATCGTTTTTTTCACTTCGGTCATTTTAATGCCATCGATACTTTGCGCATCCTTACTAAGAGCTCAAACTATACTTGTTCGTTTACGTTCACGGTCTCGCTAAAACCCGTTTCGGGTACGGTTAAACCAGTTACGGCTCAACAAGTGGAAGGGTTAACCGGTTCGATTAGAGTTACACCGGTTGCGGTTAAACCGGTTACGGTTAAACCAGTTATAAACCGGTTCCGGTTAAACCGGTTACGTTCTTTAACGGTTTTTTGGCCCTACGGAACCGGTTAACCGGTCACGGTTACCAGCCTTATCTTCTGGCAGTTTAAGCAAAACATTCCTCATTTTGGTAATAAGTTTTCATAATAAAAGCGAGGTTTTGGATGAACAGTTGTTCCATGTTGACCAAACAGCAAGTACCCGAAAAGGAATTTAAAATGCAATAGGAGTGGGTTATCGTATCCATGATGGTGGACCTGTCTGTATGTCAAATGGCACAAACAGCAATCTGTAAGTCGGCCCGGTGCACCACGGCAAATAATAATAACAGCCTGCCCTACCCGCACAAGCTCTACAAGGCTTTAAGGGTCCTCTCGTAAGAGGATAAGTTTAACCTAAGTTCATATTATATACATATTATTAAAAGAAATTTCAATTTTTGAGTTAAATGCATATTCGTGATGCAGACATGCATCTATAACTGTTTTCCTATGCAAAAACGTCCTAAATACAATATAAGGTACTTGTTTCTTAAATTCAGTTTCGTCCTATCTACAAAAAAAAAAAAATGATTAAGAATGTGTGTCCAATCTCCATTTACTAATAAAATTTGCCCTAAAAACGCAGTAAGACTTAAAGGTATTATATAAAATAACGAGACATAAAGTCCTATCTGTCATAGATAAAAAGAAGTCCGAGGATGTTTCGCGCGTCCTGTGTCATATTGGACTGGAAATCCAAAAGTTCCGGGTACGAATCTAGACGGAACTTAATTCTTTTTGAATGATTTTAAATATATCCTCATGTCACAAAATTGATTCCATTATAAATTTTATTCTTATTATCTTATGTGTTTACCATAAACGGCCTAACTAACAAAAGTCAAAGTTTTGGGCAACTACGCAGTATATGTATTGTTTTATATTGATTTAAGTTAACTTATGCCAAAATTTCATTGATTTTGAAAAATATTTACACTGTGAACAATATGAAAACCGAAAATCGTTAATAACTTAAAAATGTCTTCAGGTTAGATAGGACGTTTCAGCTCAACAGGGCAGTATAGCGGTAACTAATATTATCTTGCTACTCAAAAAATATTCCCCAACCTTGCTTTTATAGTAGCTACTTTCTTGTAATCTTTTGTAATAAACGCAGGTAGTATTAAAAAATAAACAAAAGAAATAACTACTTTTCTTTAAACGTATAAATTTATAAAGTGATGTTTAATTTAACTTTTTTCAACTCTTTTGACAAGGCGTTGTTTTTATAGATTTTATAATACGCTATAATAAAATGAACAATATCATTTATAGTTAGTAAACCTATCCTTAATTCACGGAAAAATAACATTGCTTATTTTAATAGCTACTGTATTATCTCATATTAATAATTCTCAGGTATCAAAATAGCTATGATAATATATTATTTAAACTGATGCAAATAATATTGCTACTGGTGTTGTAATTTTCAATTTATATTAACCTTCGAATAAATAGGAATACATAAAATATTACGATTATTTTCTAAGAAATAGAGCACACATAAAAAAAATAAGAATACCCATACGAAAATTTAATATTCTGCTTCAAGTATAAAAAGTTACATTTCATTTTGTGTTCTATTTTTAATATGAAATAGTAGTTATAATAATAATTATCAATCTTTCTGCGGATAGTAACCATAATTTATAATATTCATTCAAATTTAAAAATTTTGTACCAAAATATTTCTCATTCAATTTTAAACAACTTTTAAAAATGTCCGTCCGTAGGGGCGTCCGTACATCCGTTCGTCAGCCTGTCCGTCCGATGTCACGTTTTTTGTCCGCACAATAAGTCAAAAACGAAAAATGATATAAACTTAAAATTTTTAGGAAAAATCAATCTCTATAAGGGTACGGAGCCTATTGATTTAAAAAAAATATGATTAAAAATGCAGGGATTGAAACTTTAAAAAATCATAAAACAAAAACGAAAAACAATATCAACTTCAAATAAAAAAAAAAAAAAAAATCAAGCTCTACAATGGAACAGAGCCTATTAATTTTTAAAAAAATCTGATCAAATATGGATGGGGGGGGAGGGTTAAGGAGGATTAAAAATTTAAAAACGAAAAACAATCAACTTTAAATTTTAAGGACATATCAATCTCCATAAGGGGACGAAGCCTTTTGATTTTGAATAGAATCTGATTAATAATGGAGGGGATAAGGGGGGATTAAAA